CTGACGTAAATGGGAAGGCAGAACAGTGCCTGGAACTCAGCTGCACACAACGTTCAGAACAGTCCTCATGGGTCTGTCATGCGCAAAGGAACAGAGTGTTGAAAATGTGGTTATGGTTTAAGATAGTTTGGACGTCAACCAAGTAACATATTACTGCCCACTTCCATTTTTTAGAAAAGAATTACTCATTTAAATTTATTTATCATTACTATTTTTTTAAATTTGCTACAGGGAGAGAGAGAGAGAAAGAGAGAGAAGGAAACTGAGAAAACAAGTCACCAAATCTGGAACTCACCATGGTTGGCGATGTGGGAGTCCAGTGCCTTAACCACCATGCCATCTATTGGCCCCAACTGCCTTCTTTCAAGTCAGATATTTTGATTAATTGGTGAATTTTCAAGAATAGCAATAATACATTAATAGACTGATTTAAAGGTAAGACATAATTTGCTTAGTGGATCTCTTACGGAGTGGATGGAATAGGGATAGAAGGTCTTTGGCTTGGTTTCCATTAGGTCTTAGAACTTTTCTCCATAGAGGGGTGGGCTGTGCTCCTCCAAGAGTATCCATTTTCCATCATCTCATGCTGTCCACATAAATTTAGGTGAGTCCTGAGTCTCTCTCCTGCAGTTCCCCTACCTCTATATAGCCCTTGACTCTCATAATCAGTGCTGCATAGTGGCAAGATATTAAGTTGGCCTGACAAGAAGACAAACTCAGAAGACAGAGTAATGCCTAAGAAACTCCCTCCAAAAGATAGAACGTCTTTTGAAATGTCTCTTTGAGTAACATCTTGGTATTCGATTGGTTCTTTACTAGATTATTTTATTTTCTCCCAGCCCTGAAAATTTGGCTTGCTTTTCTCTTCTGTCATTACAGTTGCTCTTCTGCTTGGGTTTCTTCTGCTCCTTCAAGACACCTAACGAACATGGGACTTTCTCTCAATGTTTATGCTATTTCACTACTATTGAAGCAAATACATACCTACTTTCTTTTTTTCCCCAAGTGTTTTTATTGCTAGTAATTACAGAAAAGTAAATCATACCACAAACGAAATAATAGGAAAATCATAGTAATATGCATGTTTCTAAAACTACAAGTCATTTGTTTTTCTGATCCTTGGTCCTTTTAAGACATCAATGAGAAATAATACTCATCAAGCAGTGGTCTTTGTTGTTGAGAACTGAAGTAAAGTCACAGAAAAAAAATGATCTAATAGTACATATTTAATAATAATAAACTGAAACATGGAAAAATGACCTCAACTTCCCTTGTATTTATTAATTGTCATAGAGGAGACAAATGGTTCCTGGTGATACTTAAAATTTCTATATATATATATTTTTTCTTTTCCCACTTCTCCCATTTACTGCAAATTATTTTGTATCTTTCCTCTTAATGCCCCATCTCATCCCAGATAAGCTCCTCAAATACCCTAAATCCATGAACTTACTCTTTATTTTTATATAAATTTTATGCAAAGGAACCAAGTTCATTCATACCTCTACCACTCCCTGGATTTTGCTCTTTCTTACACAATTTCTCATCCCAAAATACCACCATTTCCACCACCAATAACAACAGGAAAACTCTGCTCTAGGATGATAGGATCCTCCTTAAGGGCGCTGGAGGGGAAGAACCTGTACGGCACTGCTTATTATAAAGGTTTTTGTTGGTACTAGAGGAAGGGAAATACAGAGACACTTCTTTATTCATATGTTCTTGTGGTCACAGGAACCAAGCCTGATCTATCATAATCTCCAGTCTTACTTATCCCTTTATGTTGGTCTAAAATAAAGAAGCCAAATCCTTATGTGTGGGCAGTTTTCGTCTAGAGTGTGATTCTTGGGACTAGCAGTTGGTGTAATGGCTATGTCGCTGGATTCCCATATAGTCGACTGCAGTTTGAGTCCTGGACCCAGTGGCTTAAACTCATGCCGGGCATGTGTGCATATGTGCCCAAGATCCCGAGAGTAGAATGGAGAAGGGATTGTGGTGTGGCCATCCCCCCTGGGGGGTGATTTCTCGCTTTCTGTCTCTCTGTCTCTCTCTCTCTTTCTGGCGAGTGCATGCGCCCTATAGCAAAAACCTCTCCAAATAAATAAATAAACATAAAAAATAGAGTGTGATGCTTCCTTAATCTGATACTTAATAGTACCTCAGGGGATCTATCAACTAGCTGTTCTTCGGACCCAACTCTTAGTGCAAATCTTTCAGCTGGGAATGTTCAGAACTTCACAGTTTTAAGAATTACAACAGTAACAATAATAGCAATAATAGTAATGATTAATTTTCATAGGGTACTGTCTGTGCCAGTTACTGTGATAAACATTTAACCATTGTCTTTGATTTCAAAATCCTAATAGAACTGTTTTAGCCATCTCTTCCTGCTAAAAAACAATCACTATGAAATTCAGCAGCTTAGAACAACACACATTTATTATCTTACAGTTTCTGAGGGTCAGGAATTTTGGCATGACTTAGCTGGGTCCTCTACTTCAGGGTCTCTCGATCAAGTCCTACTTGGGAGTACTGGCATCCCAGTTCTCTTCTGTGCAGTGATTTGATTCCAAGTTCATGTGGCCACTGGAAGAACCTTATTTATTTATTTATTTATTTATTTATTTATTTATTTATTTATTGGAAAAGTTGTTTTTGCTATAGGGTGTGTGTGTTTGCCAGAGAGACATAGAGAGACAGAGAGACAGAGAGACAGAAAGCAAGAAATCACCCTCCAGGGGGAATGGCCATGCCACAATCCCTTCTCCTCCATTCTCTTCTCAGGATCTGGCGCACACGTGCCAGCATGATTTTAAGCCACCGGGGCCAGGACTCGAACCACAGTCAACTACATGGGAGTCCAGTGACGTACCCATTACACCATCTGCTGGTCTCTGGAAGAACCTATCTTTCAGTACAGTTCCTCAAGGGCTAGTGAACTAAGGGTCTTTGTGTTTCACTGATGGTTGGCCAGAGTCACCCTCTGTCCCTTGCCACACAGGTAGATTCAATACGGCAGCTTCCTTCCTCTTTGGTATAAACCAAGGAGTTAACAGAGAGAGTTTGCCAGCAAGACAGAAGTCACGGCCTTTGTAATCATATCATGGAGGCAACATCCCTGGCCTTCAAACTCACTAGGTTCAGCCCATACTGAAGGGAGGTGATTCTTTACACAAAGGCATGGGTACAAGGAGGTGAGGATATTGGAGGCCATCTTAAAAAATCTATCTAACTCAAGACTAACTGGGGTCAAGACCAACTGGGGAAGTAGGGAGAAAGAGTTATTTCAAGATTACAAAGATGGTATCAAGACTAGAAGATGGAAGTATCAGAAATTCAGGGTCAGGATTGAAGCTAATAAAAGTATGGTTAGGGAGTGGAAAGGGTCAGTGTCTTCTTCTCTCTTCTAGTCCTGACATGAAGGTAGAACTAGGAAGATGTTGCGTACAGGGCCACAGGGTTTATAGGAAAGCATTAGGGCACTGCACAAGCAGCTGCTTCTCCCCTCGGGAAAGTAAATGGAAAGTAATGCTAATGGGGTAGTGGAATGGAAGACTAAGAAGGACTGACGATAAGCTCTCTGGGCAAAAGTGACCTGGAGTTTCTCTGGGAAGGGGGCTTTTGACTGGGGCATGCCAAGGCAGCAAGTAGAGAGGGAAGAAATCAAGACATGAACCAGATCAGGAATAAAGTGTCTGCAACCAAAGAGAATGAAGGTGAAGGAAATAAATTCATCCAGAAAACAGAAGGCAGTTCTGGGGAAAAAATATGAGGCGATGCTCCATAAAGCAAAGATGTTGGTGTTAGCGGGTGGCATGATGCTTAAGGTGCCGCACTCCTACATGGCTAACTAGGGTTCATGTCTCAGAACTGGCAACTTGAAAATCATGCCAGGTGTGTGTGTGCCCAAAACCCTGAGAGGAGACTGGAGGAGAAGGGATCAGCATGGCCATCCCCCCTGGTGGGAGGGGGGGTGATTTCTCACTTATCTGTCTTTCTCTGGCAAGCACAGGAGTCCTATGGCAAAAACCTAAAATTAAAAGAAAATAAAAAAGCAATGGTGTCAGGAAAAGGCTAAGGAACATTTTTAGCAGCATCCACTAAAACAAATTTTATTCAATATGTGTTTCCCAAGAGGGAAAATAAATTGTAGGATTTTTAGAATCTAATATGCTAGTGTGCTCTAAAAAAGTCTGTATGGTGGAGGATGGGGATTGAATAGGTAGTACTTTGCATGTATTCATAGTTTTGCACAGAGGTGGGAATACACTGTAAACTTTAAGAAATTGCTCTTATATTAAATGCCTGTGGCCTCATTTGAGAACAGGAAGAATGGGACGTGGTTCAAATATTTCTAGTAAACCAGGAATGGTGGCCAATGGTTGAGCAATAAGCAAAAAGTACTCATTAAACATCTATGCGTTAGTGAGAAATGACCATGAGCTCTCAGTGTTTGAACCCCAACAATGGGAAAGTTTCAAAACCAGGGTAAAAGCCATCAGGTCATCTTTTACAGCTATCCCCAAAAAGCCCCCAAATTCCCAAGGCTCTGTCTGTTACAATCTTTCTCTCCAGCACTCTCCTTCACCTCCTACTGAAGCTCATCTTCTTGTCAACAGAGAAGGAATCAGGGAATTCCCATCCTGAACTTTTCTCTTGAAAAAGATTAAGAAAGTACCTTGAAGAAATGCCTAGTAAAGAGAAAGAAAAATCAGAAAAGGTTTTCTTACCAAACCACCAAGAAGACAGTCCTTGAAGGAATGTTCATTTCTCTAGCTTTTACTGGGGAATCTGGGGATTAAGAGGATGAAAAGGCATCCCCTTAAAGGATGAATGGCATCCCCTCAAATAACTGGGAGCAGGTGAGGGTCCTACCCAGCTTCAAAGAGCAAAACAGCCATGAGAAGCCACTCCCTCCTGCCACACGCTGCTGTGCATTTAGGTTAATCCTCCAAGGATACCACAGTTACTTTCAATGGTTAATGAATAGCTTCGGAGTGCCGGTTTCATGTAATTGTCCAAAGGCCAGTTGGTCCCAGAGCGTATAAAGCTGCCAGCTGGCTAACCACCACATTCTCTTCCAGCAACTGTGGAAGCCAGGGAGTGGTAGGGTCAGGGCGCTGGGTTCCCGAGGAGCAGGGATGCGGAACAGAACTGGCCTAATTCTCTGCGCTCTTGCCCTCCTGACAGGTTTCCTGATGATCTGCCTGGGAGCTTTCTTCATCTCCTCAGGTTCCACATTCAACTGTCGGGGGAACTTGGTCATGGCCTATTTGCTTCTGCCTCTGGGGTTTGTGATCCTTCTGAGTGGAATTTTCTGGAGCACCTACCGCCAGGCGAGTGAAGGCAAAAGGGTATTCAGCCATGTGCTCAGGCAACACCTCGTGCAAGGGACCCTGCCTGTGGTCACAGTGGACAGGTATGTGCTGAGAGCCAGGGGAACTGAAAGGGGCTGAGCTGCGTCAACACAGGATGATTTTTAGTTGTCAGAGAGTGTGTGTGCTAGTTAGAGAGAGATGGAGGAGCGAGAGATATAGAATGAGAGAGAATATGCCAAAGCACCCCCCAACAGGCATAGTCATGCTGCAATTCCTTCTCCTCCATTTTTCCATCTTGTCAGGATTTAGAAACACATGCACACACACACACGGTTTATAGACACACACACACACACACACACACACACACACACACACACACACACAGAGCATGTTTTTCAAGTCTCAGGGGCAGAGTTTGAGTTGTGTCAGCCATATGAGATCCAGCTCTCTTAACCACTGGACTACAGGGCCAATTTCCCTCTGAATAATTTCTTTTATTTTTTTTCTCTTCTCTTCTCTAGTCTTCTCTAGTCTTCTCTTCCCTTCCCTTCCCTTCTCTTCCCTTCCCCTCCCTTCCCACTCTTCTCGTCCCTCTTCCCCTTTCCTTTCCTTTCCTTTCCTTTCCTTTCCTTTCCTTTCCTTTCCTTTCCTTTCCTTTCCTTTCCTTTCCTTTCCTTTCCTTTCCTTTCCTTCCCTTTCTCTTCTTAAAATTTTCTCTTCTTTTCTTTCTTTTCTTTTTTTTTTTTCTTTAAGAGGTTTTTGTCTTAGGGCATGTGTGCTTGCTGGAGAGAAAGAGACAAAGACAGTGAGAGGGAAAGTGAAAAATCACCCTCCAGGGGTATAGCCACCCCACAAACCCCTCTCCTCCATTCTCTTCCTGGGATCTTGGGCACACATGCACAAGCACCCAGCATGATTTTCAAGCTATCAGGTCTGCGACTTGAACTGTGGTCAGCCACATGGGAGTCCAGCGATGTAACCATTACACCATCTGCTGGACCCCTGAATGATTTTTTAATCCTACTGTGGAGTGACTTACATGGCTCCCACGCTTGTATGTCTGCAACTTCAGTTTTAGTGATAGGAAGTTATTCTGGGGTTCATCATTGGGAAGAATAGTTTGATTTGGGGGAAACGGTGAGGTAGGGGGATTTATCTCAGTAGAACAGCACCACGACCATCCTACCCCTGGTGAAAACCCAGTTAAGCCAACTTACTAGGCCCAGTTCTTAGGCTCTTTCATTGTATTGTAGGAGCTATCATCAGTAACAGACAGGTTAGTTATTCCCCACCACTTGTCCTGCAGGTTCTAAGGAAAGTTTAGCCCCAGACTAAATTTTGCCACACAACAAATTAGTAAGCAGGCATAAAATCAGTCCCATAACCTTTGTGAGCTCAGTGAAATCCGGCACTATCTTTTTAAATATTCTGATCTCATCTTATGTGCAGGATTTATTCACAGCAAGGCAAAAATATACTAGAGGTATAGTGAGTACACATGCCCTATGGCAAACACCTTTAAAAAAAAAGATAAATATATATGTATGTGTATATTTATCTATCTATATATTTAAAAAAAAAAAAAAAGAAAGAAAAGAAAAGAAAAAGAAACAACCCTAGGGGCCAGCAGGTAGCATAATGGTTATGTTGCTGCACTTCCACATAGTGGATGATGGTTTGAGTCTCAGACCTGGTGGCCTAAAACGAATACTCATGTGCCAGACGTGTGTGTGTGTGTGTGCATGCCCAAAATCCCAAGAGGAGATTAGAAGAGAAAGGACTATGGCATGACCATCCCTCCTGGAGAATGATTTCTCACTTTCTATCTCTCTTTCTCTGTCTCTCCAGCAAGCACACATACCCTATAGCAAAAATCTCGCTAAAAAACAAAAAAATAACCCTAATGTCCATCAATGATGGGCAAAATGTTGACAATACAGACAATGGAATATTACTCACGCTTAAAAAGGAATGAAATCATGATATATGCTACAATACGAATAGATCTTGAGAAGCGAAATAAGCCAGTCAAAAAAGACACATGTTAGAAGATTCTACTTGGATGACTACCTAGAGTGGTAAAATTCAGAGATGGAAAGTAGAACTGTGGTTACCACTGTGAGCTCGGGCGAGGGGGAAAGGGGATTTATTGTTCAATGAGTACAGAATTTCAGTTGAGGATGATGGGAAAGTTTTGGTGGTGGTCGCACAACAATATGAGTGTGCTTGATGACAGTAAACCATACACTGAAACATAGAGTAAAGCCAGCAGGTGATTAGAGTACTAGATTCCCACATGGTCAACTACGATTCCATTTTTGGACCCAGTGGCTTGAAAATCACACCAGGTGCATGTGTGTGCACGCCCCAAATCTGAAGATAATAAAGGAGAAGGGATTGTGTTGTGGCTACCCCCCAGGGGAGAGTGATTTCTCACCTTTCCTCCCTCTGTTCCTGTTTTCTCTGGTGAGCATACATGCCCTATGGCAAAAAACTAAATATGTATGTGTGTGTGTGTGTGTATAATTAGTATATATAACTAATAAGATACTAATTCTTTGTGTGTGTATTGTTATATTGTGTATATATTATACACACACACACACATACACAGACATACATGGAGAGAGAGAGAAAGTAAAGCTTATGTTATATATTTTTTCATAAGAAAAAAACATTCAGCCTACCCTATGATCAATATCAAGTAACCAGAAACCTTCAATTCTCAGCCAAAAATTCAGAATATATCCGTAGGCATCATTACAGGCTGCAAGACTCCAGAAATTCTTTTGCTTTCTTTATGCAAGAGAGGGAATAGTTATAATATTTTAGCTTCTCTATGTATCTATAGTAAGTAATTTTAACTGTTATGGTCCATTTTTAAAAATCCATTTTGCCAACTAATAAGATACTAATTATAACAACTAAAACCCATTTCCAATGTTTATCAGACCAGTCAGCAAAGTCTCTGGTTCAATTAAAAATCAAGATACCTTAAGACCAAGAGGTAGCATAGTGGTTAAGGTGTTGGATTCCTACGTGGCTGATGATGGCTCAAGTCCTGATCTGGGGCTTGAAACTGATGCTGGGCATGTGTGAGAGTGTGCCCAAAATTCCAGGAGGAGAATGGAGAAGAAGGAATTGTAAAGCGGGGTGATTTCTCGCTTTCCCTCTCACAGTCTCTCTCTCCAGTGAACACACACACTCTATGGCAAAAATCTAAAAATAAATAAATAAATATATTTTTTTAAAACTCAAGACACTTAAAGTGGTTATAGAAGATAATTCTAGAGTGATGCATTGTGTTTGCGTGTGTATGGATGTTAGATGACTATTTCTAGAATGTGAATTCCTGATAAGAGTAACTGATTGTCTTTAGCCTGTAGCTTACAATTACTAACACATTCGTAATATTTTTGCCATCTGTGCTGAAATATTTTAAATGATGGACTGCATGATACACATTTTACTGCCTCTTTTTGCTGCATTTTATAGAAGTCCAGCCCACTCAGAATGGCTGGTAGATCAAACTGGGAAGTTACATTTCTTGGAAGCATTTACATTAAAAATGAGTTCCCAGGTAGAGATATCAAAGCAAATGAACCTCCAGTGGTAGAATTCAGGGCACTAAATATTTAGATAGCCGTGGAAGAAGAGCAGGATTGGGAGAAGTGGATGGGATTGGAGGGCAGGCAGCAGTCATGCTGGAGCCTTGGAGATCACTCCAGGGAACAGCTCACCTTCCTGTCCCGAATGCCTTCACACATGTGCCTGTGACTCAGCCTTGGCTATTCCGAGAGAGAGCTAAGAATTATGCCGTATAACAGACAGCTTCTTCAGCTATTTGGCTTTGGTCCTGGTAACATTTGGAATGAAGCTGTGGCTACAAACAGCAGTGCCTGTTCTGTTGTGGTTACATACCATCAACACTCCCTGTAGGCACTGGAACGACTCTTTCTATAAATACACAACTCAACCAAGCTCACCCTGCCTTCCTCATCTCTACCCCACTCAGTCTCATTCATGATGGAGAAGCCAGAGGGTTTAGCAATGAGTAATGTTGGGCAAGACTACCAGTGAATACATCAACCCTGGCATGAGCGGCTCTGTTAGTCATTGGCCTGCTGGCATGAAAGGGCTACAACTAAAGTCTGCATCAAGTTGTCAGTTGAAATAGTTTTGGAAAGGAGTTAAGTTCGTATGTTGAAACTTGCTGCTGAGACTTGCAAGGGTGGTAGGTTGAGAAGCATCTGGCACAGTTCAGAGATCTGCATGTAGCTGAGTTCCATTCATGGCTTTGTTGGCTGTGCAGATCTGGCACAGTGAGTGCAGTGGAGTAGAAGATGACGTGTGTGAGTGGGAACAAGAGCGAGTGGATAAAGGAGTAGAGAGAGAGAGAGAGAAGGTCCCCGTCAAAGTCCCCAGGTCTCCTACTGCTGATACAGATTTTACACTGAAAGGTTGTTTCCACTAGTGAATGAGCAAGAGAGAGGGAAAAGCTTGGAATAACCCACTGGGGAAAATTTAGATATATATTATTTATATATATATATATGTAGACACATACTGTGACTTCAATCAATCTTCTGAAAAAACCACACATTAAAAAAAATGGACTATTACAGGGATGAAGTACATCTGTTTCAAAAATCAATGTTTCTTAACAGTTCAACTCTGCACGATGTGACTTGCGAGGCAGACATGTGCTGCCTCTTTTGGCACTGCTGCTTAAATAACATGTGTATGTTTGTGGTATTTTGTCTCCCAGGCCAGACTTTTACCCTCCGGCTTATGAAGAAAGTCTCGATGCAGAAAAACAGACGGGTGTTGCAGAGGGAGAGGTCTCTGACGGCCCTCCACCTGTGTATACAGAGACAGGCCTTGACTTTGAAGAGGAAAATGATGGCCACCCTGAGGCTCCACCATCCTACGAAGAGTCTGTAGCAGACCTGGAGTCTGCAGCTACATCCGAGGGAGCTGAGAGGCAGAGCTGAGAATGCTGAAAATCACGCAGGTTCCCCAGCACTCACACACACCCTTATGGGAACCAGGTGCTGATCATAAAGACAGACAATGGATGGTGGAAGGAAAAGTCACCTCAGCAACTCTGCACAAGGGTTCACGGAGGAGATGCTGTATGTGACAGCCATGGACGTCCAAGACATACTAGCCAGGCCAGCGCAGGAGGGGGGCTCTGCAAGCGTGTGACCAGCCCCAAGCAGACATTTCAGAGGATTCCCAATAATCCCAGCCCAGAGGAGCCTTGGGCCCCCCAAACCTGTTGGGAGAGCTTTGCTCACAGTGGGGCCTTTTGCTCTTGTTCAACCCCTCCCTCGTTTCCTCAGCCCCAACCAGGAAGGAATAGATGTAGCCAGTCAGGACAGCCATGTTCCTTGAAGCATGGTGTTACCTAATAAGCACACATGGAAAGTATCAGCCAGGAAGGATTGCTGCTGTTTAATGTAAGAGTTGCTCAGGGTTTGGTTAGCTGATTTCAGTTACCCATTGACCATGTTACCAGAGTAACACAGTAATTCACCTCATGCCCGTAGAACCCATGAATGTGTTTTGTATTATTTTAAATTATGTAGATTTTTTAACATAAAAGGAAAGTGACTATAATATTTGCTGCCAAAATGGTTCAAACATAAAATCTTATATGAGTTATTTTTTAAAAGAAATCCTCATATAAGAAGCTAGGATACAATTTCTCATAGATGTAAATGGATAGAATACTTACTGCAGGGGGAAATTTTGCACTAGTCATAGATGGTCTAAAAATAAAATTTGATATAACTCCTTACAGTTTTAAAAATATTTGTACATACTTTAAATAACCCCTCATAAATCTCTAGAACTTAAGAGACAAGAGACGATAATGACATAACTCATCATTAACAGAAATTCCTTCTGTGTCAAGATACAGATCTTGACTTTAAGACTCAGGACAATGATTTCAAAGCCCAATGATTCCTCCTCAGCTTTGTTATATTTTACTGTATTTTTAATTCAAGAGAAGTTGGGTAGCCAGGTGATGGAAAGGGATGCAGCCCAATGGTTGTGAACTTAGATGAGGTTTTCATCTCTCTAGGCCTCGGTTTCTTCCTCTCCCATGCGAGGAATTTTTGCTAGGATTAATATCTAACAGTTATAGAATGCCTTTTATACGGCAAACTGGGTGCTATGAACCTTTCATGTTTGTTATTTAGCGCTCATTCCACCTTTAAGAAATAGGTGCTTATTCCCACTTTACATGCATCAAATGGAGACTTCGAGAAGTAACACACAGTGACTTCCAGGAGGGTGAAGAAGCGTCATAAGGCATGTGGGAGGACCTAGTTCATTTAAAACTTCTGGGTTCGGTGAGTCATCTTCCCTCCTTCCAAGGAGTGGTTTGGATTTCTCTCCCTGTTCAGAAAATGGGCCCTAATAGAAAGTGGAGCTCTGGGGTTGCTGAAATATCTCAAAGCCCTTGGAGAGACAGGAAAGGCAGGAGAGGTTGCTGTAGGTTAATGGTTTCTCTTTTAAAATATAAATGAGCCTGCCCTGTTTTCGGCCTAGGAGCTGGGCCCTCGCCTCACAGTGTAGTTTCACCTAATCTGATCGTTATACTGATGATGAAGAACACTTTCTAGTGGACGGCAGCCCTGGTGAATGGGCATTGGAAGGCTTCAGAAAGGTGAAGGGAAGAATGTAGAAGAGAAGGAGAGTGTCGAGATGAGATGTAGCCTCTGTGCCCTCCTCTTCCCCATCATCACTGAGAGCACAGATTAAATATTGTCCTGACAAATGTACAAGAAATCACATAAAAAGATATCCTGGTCTGTAAAGCATGAATTTGGGACTGTAATTTGCCTCTTTGACACAGAGGGCATACATGTGAGTGAAGCTCCCACATGGTTGTCCAGTAGGAAGGCTGTCACTCACTAGTAATGTAGTAACTCTTCTCATCATCTCTTTCTATCCCTTTACTAAGACAGTTATTCTGAAACTTTGAAAAATTATTAATTTTTAATTGCCAGAGGACATTTGTGCTCACCAGAGAGAGACAGAAGGGAGGATAAAGAGAAAGCACCCCTCAATGGGCCATGGTCATGGCACAATCCCTTCTCCTCCATTTCTGTCAGGTATGGGACATACATGTATATGTGTCCAGTATGTTCTTGAAGCTGCCAGAGCTGGGATTTGAACCATGGTCCACTATGTGGGATCCAGCTCACCTTAACTACTAGGCTATGAGGTCAGCCTGTTAAACTGAAAATTTCCCTGCAGGTCTCAGCACATGCATTGAGCCAAATAAGCAATATCACTGGGCTTTCATCAAGAGTTTGCAGTTGTAATACTGACAGTTTTTGCAATTCCTGGTAGTCAGGTGAAATAAATGTTAATGGGGATTTATGTAAGAAATTGTTTGAATCTTTGTAATGCAATAAATCATGTACTTAAACTTTCATTTTTGCCATTTTTCTTGTATAAAAAAATCAAGAAGATCATAAGTCAAAATATTATTCTCGAGGTGAACTGAGGCTGCAGGCCCGACCCTTCCAAATCTTCGCGAATCCCCACCGTTTCTCCTCCTTGGACCCCAGGTTGGTTGTCTGGGACTTTAAGGCAAACTCCCACCCCACCCCACCTGCAATCTGGATCAAGCTGGCCAGTAGTTCCGGACACCAGGCGGACTGAGGCTGCAGGCCCGACCAACCTGGTCCTGTCACTCATCCTTTGACCCTTTCCCACTAGCCTTTGGACTCTTTGAATTTTGGTGATTTGAATAGCGTGCGGCATGCGTTTTGCACCGTGTGATTTCTTTTTTTCATTTTGTTTTCTTTGTTCTTAAGGTGTTGCTTATTAGGTCAGTTGGAGGCTCACCACTCCTTAGAAACAGGGAGAATTTTGGGCTATCCAGGGCTAGTGGCAACAGTTAGTGGTAATTGTGAGCAACAGGTAGGCCAACCATAAGAGAAATCATCAATTTTCTAATCTGGTACAACTTTGAACACTCAGAGATACCTTAAGTAGTTAAGAAGAAACATATAGATTACCTGATGACTAGGAACAATCGCAGAGGCTCAAGAAATATGAGCAACTAACAAAAGGCCTCTCCCTCAAGGGAAATCATCAAGCCTACATCACTCACAGTCAATACAATGGATGTCGTGGACATGTCTGATAAGGAATTCAGAATATTTGTAGTGACCAAACTAACTGAGATGGAAGAGAAAAGAGACAAGGAGCTCCAGGAGATGAGGAAGTCCTTTAATGACTTGAAAGAAGAAATGGATACCCTAAACAAGAACCAGATGGAACTTCTAGGTTTGAAGAATGTGATACAGGAAATCAAAACCTCCCTTGAAAGCATTAAAAGTAGGTTAGACCAGGCAGAAGACCGAATCTCTAACGTAGAAGACAAAACATCTGACCTAGATAAAAGTATCAAGAAGATTGAGAAAACAACCATGAAAAATGAGGATAATATACGAGGAATACTGGACACCATCAAGCGCCCCAACATTCGGATAATTGGTATTCCGGAGGAGGAAGAAAATAATAAGGGCCTGGAAAATTTATTCCATGAGATCCTGGAAGAAAACTTTCCAAATCTAGAAAGGCATTCAAATATCCAGACCCAAGAAATACAGAGGACCCCAAGTAGAATCAACCCAAGAAGATCATCTCCAAGGCACATCATAGCCAGACTGGCAAAAACAACAGACAAAGACAAGATACTAAAGTTGGCAAGAGGGAAACGCCAGGTTACTTACAAAGGTCACCCCATCAGGCTAACATCGGATCTCTCAGCAGAAACAATGCAGGAAAGGAAAGAATGGGGAAGCATAGTCAAAGTGTTGAGTGAAAAACAATTTCAACCAAGAATACTATACCCGGCAAAATTATCTTTTATATGGGAAAAAAAGATAAAAACATTCTCAAATAAACAAAATTTGAAGGAATTTACCAACACCAGACCAGCTCTTCAAGAGGTTTTGAAGGGAGTACTATACCAGGAAAACTAAAAAATCAGAGACAGTTATACGAGAACAAAAAACAACTAAGAAAATGGCTCACTTAATGATAGGATCAGGTATGGAAATATCGATAATTACATTGAATGTCAATGGATTAAATTCCCCAGTTAAGAGACATAGACTAGCTGAATGGATAAGAAAACAGAAACCCTCTATCTGTTGCCTACAAGAAACTCACTTTATGGATAAAGATATACATAGACTAAAAGTCAAGGGCTGGAAAAAGATATTCCATGCAAATGGAAATCAGAAAAAGGCTGGAGTAGCGATATTGATCTCAGACAAAATAGATTTTAAAACAAAGACTGTAAGAAGAGACAAAGAAGGGCATTATATAATAGTAGATGGGGTAATCCAGCAAGAAGATATAACCCTTATAAATATCTACGCACCCAACTCAGGTGCGCCTAAATATGTGAAGGAAAGACTGCTGGAGCTAAAAGGAGACATAGGGAAAAATACTATAATTGTTGGAGATCTCAACACCCCGTTATCTCCTATAGACAGATCTTCTAGACAGAAAATAAATAGAGAGATACAGGACTTAAATGATACTATAAATGGAATGGGCTTGACAGATATCTATAGAACTTTCCACCCTACATCCACAACATATACATTTTTCTCACCCCGACATGGAACCTTTTCAAAGATAGATCATATATTAGGACACAAATCAAGCCTTTACAGATTCAAAGGCATAGAAACTGTACCCAGCATCTTCTCTGACCATGATGGAATTAAACTCAAGATTAATTTCAAGAAACAACCCCGAAAACACACGAACACATGGAAACTGAACAACCTACTTCTGAATGACTTCTTCACTACTGAAGAAATTAAGGCTGAAATAAACAAATTTATGGAAACAAATGATAATGAGGACACAAGTGTCCAGAACCTATGGGACACAGCAAAAGCAGTCATAAGAGGGAAATTCATAGCAATTAGTGCACATAAGAAAAGGATGGAAAGATGGCAAGTAGATAACTTATCATCATGCCTCAGAGAACTGGAAAAACAACAACAAACGAACCCCCAAAATGCCAGGCGAAAAGAAATAATAAAGGTTCGAGCAGAAATAAATGAAATAGAAAATAAACGAACCATACAGAAAATAAATGAAAGCAAAAGCTGGTTCTTTGAAAAGATCAACAAGATCGATACTCCATTGGCTAGACTGATCAAGAAGAAGAAAGAAAGAAACCAGATTAATCAAATATGTGATGAAACAGGCAATATTACCACGGACATAGCAGAAATACATAATATCATTAGAGGATACTATGAGCGACTTTACGCCAACAAACAAGATAACCTGGAGGAGATGGACAAATTCCTGGATGCATATAAACTACCAAGATTGGATCAGGAAGACATAGAGAATCTGAATAGACCTATAACAAGCCAGGAGATTGAATCAGTAATTAATAATCTCCCAACAAAGAAAAGCCCAGGCCCAGATGGCTTCACTTGTGAATTCTACAAAACTTTCAAGGAAGAATTAACCCCTATCTTACTAAAATTATTTCTAAAGATTCAAAAGGAAGGAAACCTTCCAAATTCATTTTATGAAGCCTCCATCATCCTCATCCCCAAAACAGATAAGGATATGACAAAAAAGGAAAACTACAGACCAATATCATTGATGAATATAGATGCGAAAATTCTCAACAAGATACTCGCAAATCGTATCCAACAACATATAACAAAGATCATTCATCACGACCAGGTAGGCTTTATACCAGGGATGCAAGGGTGGTTCAATATACGCAAGACCATAAATGTAATACACCACATTAACAGAAAGAAAGATAAAAACCATATGATCATCTCAATTGATGCGGAGAAAGCGTTTGATAAAATACAACATCCTTTTATGATTAAGACTCTCAGTAAGATTGGTATAGAAGGGTCATTTCTGAACACAATAAAAGCAATCTATGAAAAACCTACAGCTAATATTATACTGAATGGGGAAAAGCTGAAAGCTTTTCCTCTGAAAACAGGTACTAGGCAAGGCTGCCCACTTTCTCCACTGCTCTTTAATATAGTACTGGAAGTCTTAGCTATTGCAATCAGAGAAGAGAACAGTATTAAAGGCATTCGAATAGGCAAAGAAGAGTTGAAAATATCTTTATTTGCAGATGACATGATGGTATACTTAGAAGACCCAAAGGTATCCATGAAAAAACTGCTTGAAGTAATAAGTGAATACAGTAAGGTGGCAGGATACAAAATCAATATCCAAAAATCTATAGCATTTCTATTTATGAACAACAAGTTGAATGAAGCAGAGCTGAAGAAAGGAATCCCTTTCACCATAGCCACAAGATGTATAAGATATCTAGGGATAAACCTAACTAAGAAAGTCAAAGACCTTTATAAAGAAAACTACGAGAATCTTAAAAAAGACATTGAAAGTGACATAAAAAAGTGGAAGGACATCCCATGCTCCTGGATTGGTAGAATTAACATAATCAAAATGGCAATTCTACCCAAATTAATCTACATGTTTAATGCAATTCCAATCAAAATACCAGAGATATTCTTCAGAGATCTAGAAAAGACAATTATAGAATTTGTCTGGAACCATAAAAGACCTCGTATTGCAAAAGCAATCCTGCGTAAGAAGAATGGAGTAGGAGGCATATCACTCCCTGATCCCAAGATATACTATAAAGCTGTGGTCATCAAAACAGCATGGTATTGGCATAAAAACAGACATGTGGACCAATGGAAGAGAATAGAGACCCCAGAAATAACTCCCAAAGCTTATAGCCAACTGATCTTTGACAAAGGATATCAGTCAATCCATTGGGAAAAGGAAAACCTCTTTAGTAAATGGTGCTGGAAAAACTGGGTATCCACCTGCAGAAAGATGAAACTGAACCCCCATCTTTCACCATTAACAACAGTCAACTCAAAATGGATCAAAGATCTGAACCTAAGACCTCAGACAATAAAACTACTTGTGGAAAATGCTGGGGAAACTCTGGGAGACATTGGAGTAGGCAAAGACTTCTTAAATAAGACTCCC